AAAAAAAAAAAAAAAAAAAAAAAAAAAAAAAGGTTCAGGGATGGAACCCTGGTTAGATCCGTAACAAAAGGACAAAAGTAACCCAGTTGTAATGTGCCTAATAGTCTGCAGTGTGCCGACGAATGTTTGGCCCCAGTAGTGGCCACATGATGTGTAACTGGGCTATTTTTTTCTCTGGCCAACATGAGGGGGGCCTGCTTGTCCCTTACCCTTCCTTTCTATGCCTTCAGGCTGTGAGCATGTGCCCTTGCAGTAAGCAATGGGTTTGACCCCTCTGTGACGATGAAGGCCCCGTTTATGCTACCTTTGCGCTATATGTGAGCTATCGCAGCATGAACCTGGCCACTTTATTGACCACGTATGTGTTTGGGTGGCTCCGTAGCAGGGGCTGGATCCCCATCAGCACCTGTGTAGTTGTTGCTAGTTACAACAATGTGACTTGACTTTGGGAGGGAAAGCTATGGTGCAACGCGCCTTCAGGACGGAACGCTCCTTTCTACCTCGAAATTACGGTGTTCATTCAATATTGACAAATCCACCAGGCTCTGCTACTTTCGCTTTCACCTTGCAGGGCAGGCTTGTACAGCGGCTGGCTACTGCCTGTGTGGTGGATGCCTTGTGCAGTGTTTTGTGTGCGTGTGTGTGAATTGAAGGGCACTACAGCCATGCAGGGGTGGGGTGGATATCAAGATCGGCATGGATCATCATGACATATAATCCACAATAATAACTTCCATAACAATCTCGAATTACCCCGGGCCGGTCACCTGTGGATCTATCTCAAGACTGTCACCCTTTAACAAAAAAAAAAAAAAAAAAAAAAAAAAAGATCAGCATGGATCCACTTTTTTTTCTTCTTTCTTTTTTTCTTTTTTTTTGCATGGGTCCACTTTTGTACACGGTGCCACGGCACCAGTACTTCCTAGAGTCGTGCCCGTTAACGCGCCACGGTTTTAGGAAACGTGCGGGCTACTACAGGAGCGCCCAAATTCATCCGACTAGAAACGTTTTTACGCTTCTTTTTTTCCTTTCCGCAGCCGATAGCTGGGCCAAGTACTGGTGGTTTAAGAGACTCGGCTCTTGAGGATGAGGGTGCCCGTTAAAGTACAGAGTCTACAGACTAATGGCTATACCACAAGGCGGAGTGTGTACCCATACCAGATGCATCACCACAGGTCCAATAACATGGCGGACGTCCTTCATGCGTGCAATTGCTTCGCCCGAGGTCCGTGGTCCTTGCACAGCTTCTACCACGCCATCAGTCAACTGATCATCTTCATGATCCAGAAACTTTTTTTTTTTTTTTTTTTTTCCAGAAACTTAAGCCACCAGTACTTCCTAAAGTTGGCCCCATAAACAAGCCACAAGTTTAAGAAATGCACCGGCCTGCGGCCGATAGCTGGGCCAAGTACTGGTGGTTTAACCACGTTCTATCTATCTGCACTACGGAAGCCATCATCTGTTCTAATGAGCGCATGACGAAAGGCACTTTCTTTGTTAGTTTAATGTTTACAGCTCCGCAACCCAAAAAAGAAAAAAAAAAAAAGAGCTCCGCAACCCATCAATGAAGAGATCACAACCAGTAACTTCGCTTCTATCGGATGGAGTAAGAAGCTTGTTCTTTTTATTTTGACGGGACAAAGAAAGTGATCACAATATTCAGTGATGTTTTTGGAAGATTTTTAACCGCAGTCTCTGCTAACATATCAAAGTGTTGGAAAAAGTCTATGACAAAGGTTGGCCAATCACCGTGGTTTTTTTTTTTTTTTTTTTTTTTTTTTTTTTTTTTTTTTTGAAGCCCGGGGTGTTGTAGAGGCCAGTGACCAGAACCGCGGTGATTGCTGGCTGACCAGACAGCAGTGACAAGCACCAAGGTTGGGCCAACCCCCCAGCCCTAGTGGAAGAGGAAGCGGATGAACCTTGCCGTACGGGAACTTCGGACGCCAGGCTCATGCAATCTTCTACAGGCCCAATTCAGAGAGTCTAACCAGCAGGAGCACCTAAGCAAGGCAAGCCAGCGCCCACGGACACATCCTACCGTCCTTCCCCTAACTTACCCAAGGCTAGGCAGAACTCAGACTAGCCAGAGCGACTTATATCCCTACCCTACCCTAGAGCTAAGCCCTGCGTGAGTAGACCCCGTCATATACCTGATAGACCCCCCCAGCCGGTATCATAATTGTATGTATATGTGTGCCCAGAGGCTATGTATGTTTGTATGAGCCCGTAGGCTATGTGTATATATGTTCACGAGCCATGTTTGTGTCTGCCCGAATTGTATGTGTGCTCTGTGTAACTGTATAGCGAGATGTATGTGCCCGGAGGCCAGATATGTGTAGTACTATGTAGAGGGAACTATGTGTTCGTTGAAGAGATGACAGGCCAAGCTGGACAAGAACCCCCCCGAAGTCCCAAGCCAGACTCGAACCCATGATCTATGACATGTGACCTGAAGACTCTACCATTTGAGCAACCATCGCAAACGGCACCTGTGCGTGATATGCCAGACTGGGAAGATCAACAGAGCAACCACAAGCAACAGTGACAAGCAACCCACACAGTATCAAGACCCGACATACAACACCGTGGACAACCCTTGGGTGGTGCGCAGGCAGTGTCTGTAATAGCTTACCATTCGTCAGCCCAAGGGTGTGTCTGTCCAGTCGTGCGTCATTCTAACGCCCTGCCGCTGTCCATGCTCAAGGCTGCAATTGAGTTTTGAACCCGCAACCTCATACCACAATGCGCATTTCCAACCAGTGCTCTAACCACTAAGCTACATCAACTGGGCCTGTGTTATCAGTGGGGTCCAATTATCCATTACCTCACCTCAGTCATGAGCTAGATCCATTATAGCAGGTTTGTCATGCGGGGATCCCCGGGGCCCAAGCCGGGGTAGGGGTTTCACCCCCAGACCCCCGCCGCGCGGATCCCCGACCCCCGGCCCCGCCAAAAGACCCCCGCCCCCGGCCCCACCCCCGGGAACCCCGGCAGCCCCCCCCCCCCCCCCCCCCCCCCCCCCCCCCCCCCCCCCCCCCCCCCCCCCCCCCCCCCCCCCCCCCCCCCCCCCCCCGCCCCTGCCACCACTTATCCCTGCCCCCGCCGGCTGTTGGCCCTGCCCCCGGCCCTGCACCCAAGGCCACCTCGGTCCCACCAGTGATGGGTGTGGCCCCGGGGAGAGTCCGCGTTGGGCACAAAACCCCACTTTTGGGGTTTCGCTCATTTGGTGTGGGCTGTCCCTGCACACGCTTCCCTATTTTTTTATTCTTTTTTTTTGGGGGGGGCGCTGGAGCTGAGGCCGTTAGGGTTGTAAACGACCCTTAGTCTCCGTCATTAGTATGTACTAGGCCACCATTCCTTCCGGTACTTTCGTCATGAACTAGAGTCACTGTTAGAGTCTTGTGTTAGGGCGGGACACAGACAATCCTATCTTGGAGGATCCCCCTCAGACAGCCCCTACTGCAGGTTTCCCAACGATCTCCTCCACCAGAGCCTGTCTACTAACTCCCCTCCTCCCTACTGTAGGTTCCCCCTGATATCCTCCAGCAGGGCTCGTCCCGACCAGCCCACCCCCCAAACAGGACCCATCACCCCACATAGGACCTCGCCACCCCAATGCAGAGCCCTAATCCTACCTGCATCCCCACTATAGCCATGGAATATGGACTAACCAGCCCAAGCCGATTTGAACCCGCAACCTCAACGAGACAGCTCCTAGCTCAAACCTACTGAGCTACTATAACACCTGGTCTGTTTATGAACTTTATGTGCTGTTCTAATTTGGAGGACATGTACGTGGGGTGTCAACCTAGCACCAAACCAATCATGAGCAGGGGAGACTGAGGGTGGACAGAATCAAACCTGCAACCTCCGCCTTCCAACGCCGGAGCTCTACCCACTGAGCTACCACATACTTTCTTACCAACTGGCTGTCTCGAAGGTAAGACTCCAAGCATGCCACTGGCACTGTCGTGGGGGCGATCATGGGAGTTGAACCCACGACCTCCTGAGTGCCGCTTGAGCGCCTTACCAACTGAGCTACACCCAGTTGGTTTAATATCTGTTTCCTATGGTGGAGCAGTCAACAGTTCATTTTGGCTATTTTGACCCTCCTCTTCTTGCAGGGTCTGGTGTTCAGTCTCCTGTGCTACTGAGCCCGGTCTACCTGTTGGAGACATCTATCCCTGATCGATGGATGGCCGTACCAAAGTCAAACCACCTTTTTTCTTCGGTGCAAGTTCGTTCAAGTCACATGGGCAAAAGAAACACGCACCAGCCGGTCAGTTGCCTGCCGAGTTTAAAAAGGCAATAAAAGAGGTTCGGCACTTCGTAATAAGCACAGATGTCATAACTCCGGGGGCGGGCCGTGGTGGGCAGACGGCCTCAGTTCAGAAATGGCAAAAAAAGTTCCAGCTATTTTTGCGTTTTGTTTGCCCATTCCAAACTCGGGCCATGACAAAACTGCCATTACCTGTTTTTTTCTGCACATCTGAAACTAAACATGCGACTCAGATACAATTGTTTCTTTTTTTCGGGGTTCGGCAAATCTTGCATCGAGTGTCTTGGCGCCATGTCAATATTCTTTGCATGGTTTTACTTAAACCCAGGGTTGCACATACCATCTGTGGCTCCTACGCGTCACCCACCCACAGTTGCAGGACTTGCCTACTGCCACTACGATGCATGCTGGCGGACACCACCCCATTCCCCCAGGATGGGTGCGCAGTGCAACACCCTTGGTGAATGGGCAGGGTGGGTGCACTGTGCGATGCTCTTTGGGGAGGGGGAGGGGGGGTGCGCTCTGCGTGCCCTTTGCGAAGAGGGTCGCTGGGTGCACTATGCGATGCCCTCAGCAGAGGGTGGCTGGGTGCCATGTCCGACTCCCTCAGGAAAGGGAGAGATTGGGTCCTCTGTGCAGTGTGCAGCGCCGTCATTATGTGGCACTCCTGAATCGCCATAAACGAGTCCCGCCTGCCATCAGCATCTCGCCATAACAATTGCAGCATATCGGGGTCATCACCAACACTGTGGCCATCCCCACCAACCAGCACCTTCCTTCTCTTTGGTCGTCTTCTTCTTTTGTATCTCCTCCTCCTGTACTTCCGTCCTCTTATCTCCCTGTTACTCTCTCTCTCCCTCCTCTTTCGCCGCCTCCTTGATCTCCCACTCTTTTGCTTCCTCTTCATGATCTGATACCCTTTTTTCCCTTTTCTCAAAGCATCCTGGGAGGTGGTCCTTTATCAGGCGAAGGATAAAAGCCCAAGCCTAATGAAGGCTCCACCTGTATGGTGGCTCCAATCTTACTCGTGGGGAGCAGCACGTGCTGGGGAGCAGCACGTGCTGGGAATCGGGCCCAGCGTCCCTTACAGCAGTTTGCTTGCTTTATCCCAGTCAAATGTCTGAGAAAAACCACCCGGGACGACCCTATCTGATATCCTACCCATGTCTCCATTGGTTTGTGTGGCTACCGGACGTTCTCCCTCGGTTCCAGCTGCTGCCGCAGCAGTAGTGGTCACACCCAGTGGAGCTGGAGGACTGCCCCGCGAGTCAGCCTTGCTTTCACAACCTCTCCTGATTCCGCAATCTTCGTCATTATCTCTTCTTCCGTAACTGGCATTCAGCATCCCTAGGATGCTGGCTGCCGGGCGTTCTCCCTCCGTTCCAGCTGCAGCCACAGCCGCAGCGTCGTCACTATCTCTTCTAGCTAAACTGGGATTCAGCATCCCCAGGACAGTGGCTGCCGGATGCTCTCCCTCGGTTCGAGCCGCAGCCTCGTCACTATCTCTTCTTCCGAAACTGGCATTTAGCATCCCTAGCACACGGGGTGCTGGACGTTCTCCCTCGGTTCCAGCCGCAGCCGCAGCTGCAGCTGCGGCAGAAGTAGTGGTCGCACCCAGTGGAGCGGGAGGGCTGACCCGCGAGTCAGCCTTGCATTCACAACCTCTCATAATTCCACCATCCTCCACGCTCTCTCTTCTTCCGTAACTGGCCTTCAGCATCCTTAGGACGCCACCAAGCTGCTGCTTTCCCTTTCCGCCTTGCAAAGGTGAGGTTGGCAGGTCCTGCAAGTGGAGAGGATGATTGACATGGTTGCTGCTGCTGCTGCCGCCAAATGTGTCCTTCTGGCCTAGTACAGTTGCCCCTCCCACAGCTGCAGTTCCCACAACTTGCTCCGATTTTGTCGAAACCAGATGGTCGAGGATGGATGCTAGCTTATCTTCCACACGCCGCATTTTGTCCTCGTTTATGGTCATTCGTTCCTCAATAAGTGCTATGGTCTGAGTGAGCACGTCCATCTGGCCAACCATCCGCTGCAAGGTTCCAGTAAAACACTCTTCCGCGGTTGCCGCATTGTTAGACGACAGGTCCCCCATCATATCTAATCCTCTAGCAGGCTGAAACGCAGGCAGCGGCTGCGCTGTCGAGTCGACTACCTTCTCATCACATACACCATTGGGAAAAAGAGAAGAGCCCTTGAAGTTATTACTCGCAGCAGATGTCATCATTTTGGCAGCTTGCTGCTTCGTGGGCCTCGAAAACCTCCAGTCTGGTCCATCCCCGAAAAATAGCAGCTTTTCGCCTCCCCCAACTTCGCAGCCACCTCTTGTTGCTGCTGCTTCACCTACTGTTCCACCATTGGGTAGGGATGGCTGCTGGAGGTGGCTAGGCGCAGAAGACGCCATCATAATCTTCTTGCCCGACTTCGAAAGCAGAAGATGAGAACCCCCAACCTGCCTTAGACTGCCTTTGATATGACTGCAATCGTTGGGTGGCTTGATATCCCTGTCTATGTTGCTGTTCCTCTGCTCTCTGCGGCCCCTGTCCCTCTGGCCAACGAGTCTTGCGCTCGACATGACGTAGTCCTCCATACATCTATCGAAGCTGGCCCTCCAAACCAGGACTGCTTCATCTGCACCCCCCGAGGCGAAATAGTCTCCACTAGGAGAGAAAGTCGCACAAGTAGCAGCTCCTTCATGTCCGTTGAGAGTGTAGAATAGGTGTCCTTCTCTCAAGTCCCACACTTTGAGCGAGGCATCATTGCAGGAGGAAACAAGGAAGTTCCCACAAGGATGGAAGTTCACGGAATTGACCGCGGCTCTGTTGGCCCCATAATGCTGCACCAAGGTGTTGCACCTTATGTCCCAAATCTTGATGGAATGATCGTTGGATGCGGAGGCCACACAGGTCCCGTCAGGATGGAAGTTCACCCCATTAACAATGCCATAGTGATCATCAAAGGCGTGCAGACATTGGTGGCCCTCGACATCCCAGATCCGAACGGTTTTGTCATCACCCCCAGAAACTGCCAACCTCCCATCTGGACTGAAATCTGCCGATTTTACCCAGTTTATGTGGCCTATCAGGGCATGCCGGAATTTCAACTGTCCCCTCTGGTGCATGGACCACACCTTCAGCGTCTTGTCGTCGGAGCCCGATAACAGAAACCGACCGTTGCCGCTAAACGAAACGGTGCGGACGGTGCCAGAATGAGCCCTGATGACGGTTGATTTGCCCTGAACGGTGGGGACCCAAATTCGCACCGTCTGATCCCGGGAGCCGGAGGCAATGAGCTCGTCGCAGGGAGAAAAGGCCACAGAACAAACGGGGGCCTTGTGGCCGCCATAACGAAAGGCTCGCAGCTGTGGCTTGAAGTTCCAGACCATCACGCAGCCGTCCAAGGAACAAGAAATCAACTGCTTCATGTTGCGATTGAACGCAACGCCAGTCACGCAGTCTCGATGCCCTCTGAAGGACCTCTCCAAACGAGGCTCTTCACCCATAGAAGCTTCGTCTACGATCCCCATGTCCTCTCTCTCTCTCTCTCTCTCTCTCTCTCTCTCTCTCTCTCTCTCTCTCTCTCTGTGGCACGCAGACAAACACACACACACAAACACACACACACACACACACACACACACACGCACACACTCCACCCTCTTTCACGACCTATTCGTTTTTCTTTCAGTGCCTTGTCTCCCTTTCCCCGCTTCCCTGATGCCTTTTTGTCTCTAGGCGTTCTCCTCCTTCCGGACGCCTAACCTTTCGTAATGCCCTTCTTTCCCTATGCCTCTTGCCCGATGGTTTTTTGCACACTGGCCTTTCTTCTGACCCATCAATTGCCCTCCTTTAGGTATGACCAGGCCTCGCAAGCATGGACACCCGGACACGCCTAGCGCCGTGACGTAGACGTAAATTCGTTTACACAG